GAATTGAAACTATAAATCATATATAGATTGAGTGCTATATAAATTGATAGCATGATACTTTTATTTAGCTGGGCCTTTTTATGTCAATCCATTCATTTTTGTGCTTGAATATGTGAATTCGCATGTGTGCAATTGCCGTTGTATTATTGTAGATGACCAATTATAATACTAAATAATTAGAATTAAGCCCGCTATAAGGAAAAAATGACTAAGACTACTTAGTCCTTAATGGAATAAAGATGTCTCGTGCAGTCTCGTGCGTCAGTGTGGCATCAAGCGACGGCAGAGCAATTATAATTGACACAATAGCCTCTTCAGCTGTTTTAAGCAATTCATCAAGCCCATTTGCATTTCGCCTACAGCACTAAGGTTTGACTTTCACTTTAGACGACCCAATTGTACCCTCATAGCCCAAAAGTTAACGTTGTTTGTACCGATCTTCTCATCATTCCAGGTCGACGAGGACAAGAAGACTCACGAGCAGATGCATAATCTGATTGAGCGATTGCAGAGCAAGCTGCAAACCTACAAAATTCAGATTGAGACGACCGAAGAGATAGCTGCCGTCAATTTGGCCAAATACCGCAAGATTCAACACGAAATCGAGGACTCTGAGGAGCGAGCTGATCAGGCCGAGCAGGCATTGCAAAAGTTGCGTGCCAGAAATAGATCTTCTCTACCCAGCACCAAAGGAATCAGTATGGGTCTACTTCCCGTAAGTTCGACAGCTTGTCTGCGACTAGCCGATTCTATCACTTTTATAAACATACTGAATTTGCTAGAAATCCTCTATCCTGCAATTTTTCTTTATTGTCACCCAAACCTGACTCAAAACCAGATTGTTTACGTCAAGTGGTACCTTAGGCAACCTAAAGCTACTAAAGTCTTTGGTTAAAATCTACCAATAGTCTCAACACCTTCTAAATAAAGTTATAGTTGCATCCTCTATTCTAATATAAATGTTGCTTAGTCTCACAAAATCAAGAGCTTACCTTATATATATTAATTAGAGGAGGCGTAAATTGCCTCTAAAGTCACAGTAATTGAACTGGTTTTTCCATAACTCCCGTACATAAGTAATGAACATCATTCAAGCCATCA